GCAATGCAAGCTTCAACCTGCAACACAAGAAGTGAGAAAAGATGTATGAGTATAGCGCGTTAAGATTTCTGTAGTCAAGATTTATCTCCACCTCCAGTGGGGCAAGAGGAAACGTTCTCCTTTCATCTGAAACAGGTACATATTTCCACAGAAGGTGCGTTTTTTGTTTCTTTCTTTCTTTCACGAGTCAGTATCCACAGCAGCTTTGTACTCTGACCTCAAATCACAGCAGAATTTTAGCCCTGTACGTTGCCATCAAGCCAACTCACGTTGTCAGCTGCTAGATACTACCACGCGTGACGTCAAAAGCAGTCCAGTGCCGACACCAAATACGGAACGGGAGGGAAACCACCCAACCCGTTTTCTATTAGCAGAGGCAGGGCGGGTAACGGTGCCACAGGAAGAGTCTGGATGTTTCCCGCAGACTAGAGCGGGCTGTGTAACGTCGCTGCGCCCGGCCACCCCAAGGGCCGAGCCACACGCTCTCTTCAGCGGTCCCTTCGCGCGGGACACCGCAAATGCGGTCAGCCTGCAGTACGGGTTCCACAGCTCTCCTCCCTAAGGCACCGCTACCTCGCTGGGCTCCGGAGAGAGCTGCCACGGGACGGAGTGAAGGAAACCCCGGCGGAGGGGCGCAGGTCCGCGGCCGGAGGGGGCCTCCGCCCGTTCCGACGGGGGCGGTGCCAGACGCCGAGATCCCTCCACAGCCCGCCCCGCAACTGCTAAGCAGCATCACCCATAAACGGTCCTAACTTCCTCGGCCCAACTGCCGCCCCACGCCTTCCTGCCTCCCCTTCCCCGCTCCCACACCCGAGTGCGGCCCCGTGCACTTTCTTGTCCGCCCGCGGAGGTCCGACAGCGCATCGCGGAGAGGCGGAACTCACCGGCGAGGCGCTCCAGTTCGGTCAATTCCACTCCACTTCCCCCGGTGCCGCGATGCGATGTGATGCCGTACCCAAGCCCGGCCCACCCGCTGCAGGCACCCACCGGCCACCGCGAGGGTGTGAGCAGCCCAACCCGGAGCGATGACAGGGCCCGGCCGCCACTTCTGCGCAGGCGCGAACTCAGCGGGCGGGGCCGCAGCGCGCCCGCTTCACCCCTCGCCTCCTTCCCACCCGGCCTCGTGGTCAGGGGCGGTGACGCAGCGCTGGCGCGGCGTGACGTCAGCCTGGAGCTGAGCAGCGGGAGGCGCTGCTTGCCCGGTGGGGTCGGCGGTTTGGGGTGCAGGAGCTCGGTTTCGCGCGGCTTCGGTTCCGTCTGTTGGGCTATGGAGAGGCTGAGCGAGAAGTTGACAATAAATAACTGTAGGGGGATGAGCATGAAGTGGAGAATGAGGGAGTATGCCTCCTTGCTCCCAGTGCGCCCGCGGGACGGCACTGGAGAAGAGCGGAGCTGGGGCGGGAGGGGGCTGTGAGCTGTGGGACTCTCTCCCGGGTGGTGATGGCAGCTCTGCATTAGCCTTGGCTTGGTAACAGGTGAGCCCCGGGGAAATACAGCTGCGTTAAAACGGGCCATCGTTGTATCGCATCACTATTTTTAAATCAATAATTTAAAAAAAAATGGGTAAGTTCTGGGACAAATCATTCCCTCCCTGTTTGCTGAGGAGAGATCTTTGTGATGATGTCGTATTTCTCGTTCCCTGTGGAGTACTAAGAAACTTTGTGGTGTGTTGCTAGTCACTGTGATCTACGGAGATACGCAGAAGCCTTTGCTTGATCTCGAGGGCACGAAAAGAACGAGGTCAGTGAACGGGGAGGAACTGGATCCACCAGGAAGAAGCAGGAACAAACTGTCCTTCATACTCCAATTGCCTGTCAGTAACTTCTGACAGGAGAGGAGAGTGATGTAGGTGGTGTTGCTGCAGCGTGTGGCAGCGGTGCAAAGGCCAATACTGCCGCTGGCCCGCCAGGTTCAGGGTGAGGGGCAGGTAGGGGGGGTTTCGCTGTATCCTCCCAGCAGAAACAAAGGCAGTTTTCTCAATTCTGCATTCTGTTACAAGCATCCGCAGGGTGGGCATGTTAAAACGTTTACCTCCTAGGATTTTGCTTACTACCAGGAGGAAAACACATTGCAATTTATGTAAGTGGATCGGGTTGGGAATCCTTATTTAACAGTCTCTCTGTAGCAGTTCGAGGATCCACTTTTATATAGGTCAGGAAGTAAAAAAAGCCAGGACCAGTCATACTTCATGGCAAAGTGATTCTGGAAACTATGGGGTAAGAAAGTTCTGTGTTTGGTGTCATTTTGCCCTGTAATGGAAAGCATTTAAATAAATAAACCTACCAAACAAATGGGATGTCTTGGGCCAGCCATTAAGTCCTTTGTGTATCTAAATGAATAAGATTCTACAGGACTTCTCAGAATTTGTGGTTGTAGATTTATCAGTAAAGATCCAAACCAGAAATATTAAATTCATACATTCAGAAAATGAGATAGCTCTGTAGCTGACAGAGGCTAAATGATGCAGCACTTTTCATGGTAGCAAATCCTCAGGTTTGTTATTTAAAGAAGAGATGAGTGATTTGCCTTTTTCCATTCTGCATGTAAGAATGGAAGGTTAGCAGTAGCTGCTACATGTAGCAAACAGAGGAAAACATTTAATTTGTTTTCTAGTTCTAATCTTCCTTCTCCCTATATTTGAGACCACCGGAGTAATTAACTGCAAATAATCCCACTCTGAAGTATATTTTAAATACTCACTCATTGTGCAATGTGTCCTCTGACCAGCATGTGGAGATATGTTCATGTACTTGAGAACATTGTATGCCCAGTACAATTTTTACATGGAAAAGGATTTTGATATAACTGGCCTAATTCATTAATTAATATATGAAGGGTGAAACAACATATAATGTTGCACAAATGTCAACTCCGTTCTGTAACAGACATAGCTATACTATTTAAAAGAATTATTTTAATCCTAAAATCAGATTACTGCTAGTTAAGTAATTCAAATGTATCTTCAAATAAAGTATAAGCTGTATTTTTATTCTATTTACCACCTATCTTAGCAAATTTTATTTTCTCTTCCAGAGAAGCCATACCCTGCCTATATGCTTTGAGAGTGCCCCTTCCTTCATGGGGCTAAAGGTACACAGGCAGTGGAGGAAAGAGTGCCTGCTCTGATGCCACATCACTGATTGGACTCCCAGTCACTTAGTACAACCATCTCTGCATCCACTGGCATTAAATCTGCCAAAATGTGGTTCTCTAGTTGCAGCGGTCAAGAGAACTGCAGGTGAGCATGCCTGCACCTCAATATTTCCAATGTCCACTCTAGTACTTGCAAAAAAAACCCAGTATTTTGCAGTGACACAAAATCCAGTGAAAACAAGACATGTAAGTCTGGTTAACTTCAAGGAAGACATATATTTTTTCCTGGGTGCCTTAGCACAGAAGGATTTCTATTACAACTGCACAGTCTTCTTACTGATGGCCACAACAAGCAGGAAACTATTTTCAGTTGCCCTGCCATTATTAAAATAGCAATGCTTAGCTACTCCTGGTGATTGCTGTCAGCACAGCTGTGGTTTTTAAATTCTGTCACTCTTAATCACCCATTCAGATAATGCAAAAAAAAAAAATTAAAAAAAGTATATACTGTTAATTAACATATACTTTATGCTATTACTGGAAAACATGGAAAGCATGTTTTTGAAGGCTACAGTGTTACAGCACAAAACTTCCTGTGTAGCTGATAACAGAGGTGGACTGTTCTCTGCCTCCATTTTCTCCTCGCAAGAGTGAGTACATGCTTTAGGAACATTAGTTCCTCATTTCAAACCTCCTTGTTTATACTTTGATGTGTCACAGACTACAGAAAATAGAAATGGGTGTCCAGAACAGCTGATAACATGAAATTAGAGATGTCAGCATTTTGCTGTGAGAAATTACTAACCTTTGTGTGAAGCCTTTGTGTAGAATATTCTTGATTAAGACAAAGGAAAGGCTTTAGAATGCAAACAGCCAGACGAGAAAGGTACAGTGTGACCCTTTATGCCATTTCAGTTTTACATTTTATCTTTATATTCTTCACAATACCACTATTTGGATGTTAGTAATTAATGAAAGTGCCAGTGTAGAGAGACAGACATAACTCACATACACACAGAGTACATGTTTTCTGTGTTTTGATACTTCATAGCTTAGCATGTTTTAGTTCTCTGTCTGCCCACCCTGCCCATTGTCCTGATTCTGGTTAGCTCAAATGTAAATATGCTTACAAGATCAATTATTTAATGACTGATGGTGATACAGTGAAAAAAAAAGAATATTTTTTTCACCTGTTTGCTAAGGTAAATCACTATATAAATACCAAACTGATCATATAGCAAGTTCTGTGTCTACCTATCTCAAGGCACCTAATTAAGGGAGCTGGTTAAGGATAAGCTGAGGAATCATACCTTCAAATAAGATAAGCAAAACAAAAAACTTTCAAAACCCTATTCCCCTCGTGTCAGGTAACAAAATGCATCTGAAATATCCAAAAGAATGCTTCTCATAAGACATCAGATGTAAAGAAAATGGAAAAGCAGTGAAGATTAAGAATGAATCATGGACAGGAAGACTGAAGTGAAAGAAACAAGCTGACCTCTGCATTAGGTATGAAGCTCTCATGCTCACAAACTCTTCTGTGGATCTCGTATCACCCAGCCTACACAAGTTGCAGCTGGCATTCAGAGGACTACCCCATATCCTGGCAGTATGGCAGAAGATACACGAGTGCCAGGCACCTGCAGGCTGGGGCTGAAGATGCTGAACATTTTTGAACATCCTACACAGAAGGTTGGAAGTGTAGTCCCTCCCAACATGCAGCATGTTCGTTTTCCATTGCCATGATATTTCATGCTATTACATGAATCTTTCTGTTATAAATAGATTAGCAGACAAGGTGCTAACCAAACACCAGGAAAAAATTCCCAAGTAATCCAAGTGTTGGATGCTGAGATAGCAATTCACATGTAATTAAGCTGGGCTTTTGGTCAGGCTGGCACTGATCTTTGATTTTTAAGGTGCAGTCCTACAGGAATACAAGATCAATAATTGAGCTAGTTCTGCCCTATAGAGACCAATCTGAGAACACAGTGAACCTCAGTTTATAAAATAGCAGCTCCAAGTGGTGCCACATGCTGCTGATTCTGACATGACACTGTGTCTTTGCATGGCAGGATGATGAAGCACCCTAAAATTAGCCTTCTTACTATTTTGTAAAGAGCAGGCAGAAAGGTAGCAGCCTGCACTGAGGAGAACAAAGAGGCACAGGAGAGGACGAGATCCGAGGCTCACACACAGGCTGGTCGCAACACTTCATGGTGAGCACTCTTGGCTTCTTTGCAAATTTCCATTTGGATTGTTTAGTGTCATTTCTTATCCCAAGCACTGGGTGACCTAGTTGTGAAAAAAAGAAAGGTCCTCACGTAAACAGAGGTGGGGTGGAGGGATCTGCTCCCTCAGGGGGCTTGGGAGAGAGCAGAGAGGAGAACTATCTGTGAAAATTACACAGATGGTCTCTTTTCTTAGATGTGTGGTGGGACCTGGCATTTAAGTGACAGAATTAAGTTTGTTGTTACTGGAATAGAACTGGGAATGGAAGAAAAAAATGAGCTGGTATGGAAAGCAGAAATACCATGATAAAGCCCCTTCTCTGTTGAACCAGACTGAGTTTTTCCTGATATTCAGCTCTCTCCCCACCCCATTTATTGGGTTATAAGTTCCTTGGATTTACAAAGAGTAAGATTTAAAAAGAACCTTCCAGGCAGTAGGAAGATAAGCATGGATGTATTTGGGTATGGGAACAGAAACAGTGAAGGAAAAGGTCCTACACCAGAATAATGCTAGCAGAGGACAAGGAAAATTAAGCTGTAAAGAAACATTTGATTATCAGAGGGCACAGTAGGCATGACATGAAATGAATGTTAGGTTGGATTGCTAGGAGAGAAGACGAAACAGTATGCATCTCTAGGAAACCTAGGACATCAGCTAGGTGTAATAGTGTGTGGGCCTGTGCCTAAACAATTGTCAGGACCCACTGTTTTCTCTGTTCCTATGGCAGGACTCTGAGAATAGTAGTTGGGAAGAAAATAAATCTGAATTATAAACCAACCAGTATGTTTGAACTACATTGAGCTGTTTCTGCTTTTAGTTATCACTTAAAAATATGTGACTGTTTCGCCACAAAGATATTTCTGTTTAGTAAAGATGATTGGACAGTACTCAGCAGCTCAGGGTAAGACTCATGATTTCACATATATTACTGAAACCTAGAGGGACATGATAATGTAATATCTATTTTGGTGCAGTTAGCAAGTCATAGACATTTGGTATAGCATGGACTGAAACATCGTGTTGAAGTGATAATGAATCTGTGCTGTTTGTGCCAACTGCAGTACATGACATCTCTGTTCAAAAAGTGGATTAAATATTCACAGTGGACAAAGACTCATGGACAGATGGAAAATTACATTTCCCTTGCAGAAGTTGTTAAGAAGCCCCACAGAAATTGCATGTGAGCAGTCAGAGCTCTGAGTCCTTGGAGGGCTGTAACACTGAATTTCCTGTAATGTCAAAATGAAATTAGAATAAAAGATTAAAAAAATATTTGGCATAGAGAAGGAAAGTGAGCTGTATAAGAAGCACAATCAAATCCTCATGGCTGTGTGAAAACCAGAATCACTGCTGCTACCTACCCACAATTCATATGTAGAGAAAGCTATTGACTACTGATGTTCACAGAGATCTCTTATGCCAATACTTACTAAGCTCCTATTTAGGAAAGAAAAATTGTCACAAACTTACAATCTTTTATTTCTGTTTACTTAGACTGCAGATACACTTGTTGATTTTTTAATATGAGTGATTTAGAGGCTCTTATTTCTCTCCAGAAAATCTTGGACAATGTTTTGGGGATAATGTTTCTTTGTTTATTTGGTCTACCAGCATGCAACAAACTGCTACGATTTAAAACTTCAAGCTTGCAGAAGGGAGGCCAAAGCAGCTATATATCATTTGGAAGCAGAAACAGTAGAGCAGCCACCTGTGCCAAACCTCCATTGCATTTAGCTGGCTTTTTTCTTCTTGGGTAGGGAGGGAGATAGCAGTGATTCATCGTCTATGTCTGATTGATGAAGGCTTTCTTGTCATTAATGCCAGCAAGCCACTAGAACGCCACTAAATATGATCCCAATCAGAAATGATTTTTTGAGGGATACTGACTAGTCCCCACTTAACATATGTATATTTACTTTCATAAAAGGAGAATACAGGGCCATTTCCAGCTCCTCGGCAGGGTTTTAGACCAGCATTATTACTCTTAAACATACATAGACATAAGTCTGGGACTAGTCCTAGGGCTTGGATCCCTGAGATTTGAGAGACATTGTTCCCAAGACTGTCTCAGGGAAAGACACAGCATTTCTACAGGATCCAAATGAGACATAGGAGTTTCTGTTCATCCCATGACAGAGTGGAGGCATCCAGAACCAGACAGATTACCAGCAGGAAAGTCATCTTGAAACTCCAGTTTCAATAGAAAGCACTTCCACAACAGTTTTTAGCCAGTACTGTGCCCAATGTGATAAAATTTTTGCAAACAGAAACAATTCAATACAATCTTGTATGCTTGTGAGTTTGTAGCAAACTTGGCAAGGCTAACTGGCTCGTTAACAGACAGTATAAATATTACAAATTAAATTCCTTTGAGTATAAGGTTGTGGGTTGTTTTTTTTAATAAAATGAACAAAAATAATGCTTGTTTGGTGTTATGGCCAAGTGGTTGCTTGGTAAACAAACAGCATTAGGGTTAAAAATCACTTTTCCTGAGAGGTAAATGACATGTGGTCTTTGTAATTTTTCTTGACCTATTATTCAAGTTTGAGCCTCTAAATAGCTCATTACCATTATGAATCTGTTTGTGTTATCTTCTGAGTTTATAATAACCATAAGCGTTAAAATAGTATGTTCATAACAATAATAATCCCTACTAGTTTCCCTGCAGAATTACAATAGACATGAACCTAGAAGCATTTTGTTTATAACCATTACAAATAGTCATAATTTCCAGTGAGTTATATCAGCAATGATCTCTTAAGAATAAAGTATTTGGGATTACAGTGTCTGCATATTTTCAAGTCAAATTTATGAAAATTGTTATTTTTTTGGCTAAGATTTAGTTTAGACTACTTAATAGTAATACATAAAATCTTAATGTCTTCACTTTAAAAGTTCCTGCACCATCGGTTTTACAGCTAATTTATTTATTTTTTTACAGCTAATTTTGACTAAATACAATTTAAATTTACTTTTATTCTGAGGTGAGATTTTAAAGTTCAAGAGAAGAAAAGGCTGCATGAAGTTCTTCCCACTGAGTTCTTTCTTTTGGCCCTTCCTGGCCAAGAAGTCAAAGCCATCGTTTTCCCTGCTTCCCTGTCCTCTAGGTCAAAGCAGCCTTCCAGTATCTGAAGGGGGCCTACAAGGATGCTGGAGAGGGACCCTTCACTAGTGACTGTAGTGATAGGACAAGGGGTAACTGGTTAAAACTTAAGCAGGGGAAGTTTAGATCGAATATAAGGAAGAAATTATTTACTGTAAGGGTGGTGAGGCACTGGAATGGGTTGCTCAGGGAGGTTGTGAACACTCCATCCCTGGCGGTGTTCAAGGCCAGGTTGGACAGAGCTTTGGCTGACATGGTTTAGTGTGAGGTGTCCCTGCCCATGGAAGGGGGATTGGAACTGGATGGTCTTAAGGTCCTTTCCAGCCCTAACTATTCTATGATTCTATGATTTTAATTACCAAAAAAAAAAAAATGTTTTCAGCTGTATTTCATAAAACTTGTAATTTTTTAAAAAATTGAGAAATTAAAGGTTCAAATACCATCTTTGTCTCTGCCATAATGTCTTTACACATACAGCACTTCATCACAGAATCATAGAATGGTTTGGGTTAGAAGTGACCTTAAAGCTCATCTAGTTCCAACCCCCTGCCATGGGCAGGGACACCTTCCACTAGATCAGGTTGCTCAAAGCCCCATTCAACCTGGAAACTAATAATATATTTGTTGTCACATATTTTCTGATATAAATATTTGGCTGCATGGAATCCTGCATCTCAGGATCTAGACCAGAGGGATCTTTACATCTCTGCAAAAGAACCAAAGACTTTCTCTTGCATCATGTACATGGAGAACATGTATTTCAGGATTAGAAAGCATACAGTATGTAAATAATTTCTTTCCTAAGTTTTTCAAAACAGGACAGGAAACAGTACTGCTTGGAACACCTCAATAGTTTCCTATAATAATATTCCTAAATAGTTTCCTATAGTTTCCTATAATAATGTTCCTAAAAAATATTCCTCCTTGATAGTTTCAATAATATGACAAAAAGGAGTCCATGGGAATGCACAGAAAGTAGCTGTATCTGCAAGGTGGAGACTGTTATTTGAGGCCTCATTCTTGGGAATCAAATCATTCATTGGTTCTTGGATTTTAAACTTTATAATCTTGACTATAGCTGGGAAAACTCTGGAAGTTCTTCCCACTGAGTTCTTTCTTTTGGCCCTTCCTGGCCAAGAAGTCAAAGCCATCGTTTTCCCTGCTTCCCTGTCCTCTAGGTCAAACCCTCAGGTGGGTAACTTATTTCTCAATGCAACTAATGCCAATTTAAACTAGCTGAGTCTTTATGGGGTTTATATCACAGCTCAAAAATCCACAGCTGAGTATGTCAGGTATGAAAAAATACATGTTTATACTCCTTTCATGCAGTGCAGTCAGCAAACTGAAATGCATTTCACATAAACGCAATCCATCATAGCATGATACCAGCAGTTCTGGCACCCCTGCCTGCTCCAGTCCCCACTTACACTTCTCTATTCACTCAAACACCTTAAATCCTATTCAATAGCTCAAAGCACAACAAAACAAATCTGTTCTATATAGGAGAAATACTTTCCATATACAATACCCATAGGTTATAAACACTACAGTCAAGACTTTCTAAAAGTATGTGTTTTCAAAGTATGCCGATTTTCAAAAATCATGAGTAAAGATTTAGGTAACTGCTTCTAGTCACTCAAATGTCAAAATCTTGGGCAATATGAAATGATATGAACACCTCAAATGAAAATATACAACTGTATCCCTTAGTTTTTCAGCAAATATGTAAGATAATTTAAAGTATGTAGTTTTAATTATTTAATGAAAACACAGCCTTGGTCTTCATATCCTGTATTTAAATTTCAAAACTTGTATTTAAATTTCAAAACTTGTAAATATTTCTTTATAATGTAGATGGTTTCTGGATTTACTGTGTTGTCCTGATTTAACATTAACCTATACTTTAAGAGCATTATGTCTAAAATTTAGCTCTAATATCAAGTTTCCACAGCCTCACACCACCAATTAAGCATGCCAGATAGGTTTTGTTCTACTTTAAAAGGCCTTCACTAATCAGATTAAGTGAAAAATACTCATCATAATGTTTGCATATTCTTTCTAAGTGTCACAGCTTGGAGTCTTCTAATATTCTTTTTTTTTTCTAAAGCACTAAGAAGTGAGACATTTAAAAAAACATTTTCAAAGGTACCCTAGGCAGAAAGAAAATTCCTTTTTATAACTTGTGTGATAGCACAAGGCATTACTGTATGTCACAGATGTAGCAGTTGGTCTAAACTTGGCTTGTAACATGCGTGGTTTATCAGATCAGAATATATTTTAAATCCTGCCTGATATATCTTTTGACTCCTTCCATTGAGCATATTAATATTTTGATTGTTTGGAAATAAGATGTTTCTGGAAACTGACAGCTACATAAGCAGAACCAGTGGCTTAAATATAGCCTAGGAAAGTAGTAAGAAACATTTTTGATTGCTACGTGATTTATTTGAAATAAATTAGAGAACTTACTTAGTTTCCAATTAGAAAAGCTGTATCCTCTCTCTTCCTCTCTTTGTTTCTCTGTGTTACAAGAAGTTTTACTTGTGAAAAAGTCACTGTTATAGTTAACAATTTGCATGGGTAGTCAGAATAGCCAGTGTCTCCTGCTATTGTTGCTCTGAATTACTTTTCTGGATTGCTATCCTTACTTTGGTAACTGAATTAATGTTATCTGAGCGTCACTTGTTCTTTAGCTAGACAGACTGATTCTGGTGGTGTTTAATAACCTGGTACTATCAAATTACTTTAATTCTTATCTCTGTTCCTTCTGAAAGTTTGCTTGTGTTTTGACAAAAAAATACCCAAACCCTTATCTTAAAATTGATTGTTGGTAAAGTTGTATCCTAAAAAAACACAAGTATTTTTTTTAAGCTTCATCAGGATCTATACATTTTTTTTGCAGTGCATCTTCATATATATTTTTATAAACTACGTTATAGTTCAAGTCAGTTTAAAATTACAATGAAAAAAGCAACATTTAAAGTGGGAAGGTGACTCAGTGGCCTGAGGGAAAGCGTTCCAGACAGATGAGGCAGCATAAGGGAAAGAGCCAGAATCATCGGGATGGGCTGGTAAGCTGATCCCAAGTGTACAGAATAAGGTGACACATTAAAGTGCTGCTAAAACAGTAACTATTTCTCCAGTCACCTAATGATATTCAGAGTTTGGGAATAATATCTTAGTTATAATTTTGTTACTTAATGGCACTGTTTTAATAAAAAGGAGGAAAATTTTAAAAGCTATAGAACTTCTGCAGGAGTTTTCTTCCCTTGTGTGTACAATCAGAGAGCTGGTCAGAGTCAATGCTTTTTGAATGCTGTGCACAAATGGTCAAATAGCAGCTATAACTCATTCTCCTAGTTATAACCAGGTAACATGATTCCCCAAACCCCACATGTCATTACTACATTTTGTTTGCACAAAAACTCCCATGCTTTGCTACTGCCACCATGTGTCGAGACGCTAGGTTCCATGTAAGTATGGGTATGATCTTTCTTCAGACTGACCATTTCTCAGTTCATCCTATTGTCCCATTGTAATATACTATATATACATGGTTTCACCTGTCCATGGAGTTTCCTTCTGTTGTGTTTTAGCAAACTGTTATCAAACTACACTCTCCTGCTACCTAACCTATGCATATCAAGCTCTTGTCTTTAGCTGGTTCCTCTAGTCACCTCACTGAACAATCATGTTGCTATCCTCCAGACTGTCCCAGGCCTACCTAGCTGAGGTGATCCATGATCACAAGTTCATAGATGAGCTGACTAACATGTACACTGCTGATAAACTACTGAAACTCTCATCTGAGTGTGCTTGGAAAGCAAGAGGTCTCAAGAAATTATTTTTAAAATGTAGACTACCCAAGAATGCCCTCCCCTTATTCTCACAACAATCCCGTAGGACATTCTAATTAGGGGTATATCTCATGAAGTATAATTTTGGCAACGAAGTTATTGAACATTTTGTCGTATTAAACATCTGACTAGAGTTGATATTCTCTACAGTTCTAGTTGTCAATAACAGGTGCAAAAGCCTCTGATGCTCAAAACACTAGCCATTCATTCTGGTTTTGGTTACTCTCGAATTCCAAAGGTCCTGATCTACACTACCATTAGGCTGAGGTGCCTCTGGCTCCTCCCAGCTGGCTGGCCCTTTGTGTTTAATTTGCTGTAGGCCTCAGGGCCTATAAAAAACCCCAAAGAAATACACTAGGAAGCCACTGTACCTAATTAGAAAAAAGATACTGAAGATAATATTTTATATACACAGCATACATATATAGTTCAGGCAAGAACCTCTGAGTATATTTTCCTCATTACCATGCAACTCACATTAACCAGGTTTCCACAAATAATAGCCAACCCTTATTCTTTTATGTTGAAAGCACTTACAGATGAACTCTCAGTGAAGTCTCTCATTTCTTTAAGGGGTTTGGAATTTCTTTGTAAGTAGCCTGGGTGAAATCATGCTCTCTATTCTAGATGTGCAATGCCATTTAAGTGATAAGAAGCAGGACTGCACTGTAAATCTCTGTTTGACAGATGTGTAATTGGAAGTAGAGACTGTGTGGTTACAAAATATGCTTCACTAGACTGACTCTTAATCCACTTTTAAAAATACAGTCCGTAATGTGGTGTTGTGTTAAGCTCAACCCCAAGTCAGAAACATTCATGTATATATGACCCTGTCCCTGGACAACAGTAAGCAGTTAGCAAAGGCAGACAAGATAAATGTCAGGTCTGCTTAATATCAACCATAGAAATAGCTAACATGAAGAAAAAAATGCACCCAAAAACAGAAACAAAAAACCCAACAACCTTAAAATTAAAGGAGAAAAAGTTCAAGTAATCAAAATATAAAGTATATAATATGGCTTTCACTTTAGTAATATTCCTGTTTTTCCTTTAGCTTTAGGTTACACTCTTTGCAGCAGTCCCTCTGACAATCTGTTCAGTTGGTATTAATCATGGCTATAAACATATATTTTAGATGTTTTGGAGATGTTTGTTCTGAAGAAAGGTAAAGAAGCCAATTAAAATGGATAGATCTGTAGCTGCTAGGGTCTAATCCTGTTTTATCTGAAGAGGAATTTTGACAAGCAATGGAAGAGAGCAAAACTCAGAAAAGAATAGCAAAAGTACAAACACATTGTTTGGCTTAATGCCCTCTCTTACATATAATCTGAGGAAAACAAGTCCATCATTGTATCAGCTACAGCAAGATCTGGCAAACCTGTACCAGCACCAGAGTCGGTGCCAACTAGCATTGTCTTAATTGAAGACATGAAAAAACATAGCAAAATTAGTCTTGTCTGCTAAGCCAGGTTCTTCTTAAAAACAAAAGAAGGAAAGACATGAAAGACGAGGAAATAAAGGAAGACGGGGAAGGACAGGGTCATAGTAGGAATGCAAATCTCACATAACACAGAGGGTTCCAAATTAGATGAAGACAGTAGAACTGCATTTTCAGATCCCTTTTTGTGGTCTGTTTTGGACTAGTGAAATCCTATACTGTCAGTAGTCTCTGAAAATGCTAGAAGTAGTAACCCTGCTTGTAAATCTCACACTTTTCAATCATGCAGGTTTTTTGGCATCAATGTCAAATAAAGCTTCTTCCTGTTTCACTTGCCCAAAGCAAGTCATGAATAAAACAGCACATCCCCTTGATATTTTGTTCAGTAATCAAACCCAGTTTCTGGGTTATTAATTTTAATCCATTTTGATTTCTGATCTTGTGTTTCTATTGATTACAAGACTTAGTCTCCACCAAGTCACTGGATTTTATAGTGCTATATCTTACATTTTATAGTATTACCTCATTAGTATTATATCAGTTTTTTCTGTATTTGATTTTTTTTTTTTAAATAATCTTATATAACAGGTTTCATCAAAATTCTGCTTCTTTGGGCAACTGCCAGTCTCTGTATATCAATACTTGCTGTGTGCTCTACAAATCATTGAAGTCTGCTAGCACTGACCCCAGAAAGAAGGCTGATGTGAGTCAACCCTGCACCCAGACATGGTGGGAACTTCATGGGGATCCTACTCAGCCATGTGAGCACTTCCAGGTAGAGCTCATGCACTTTATATTTGAACCATAAAGGGAAAATATCCACTTTAAAATCTGAATGCTAGCAAACTAAACAACCTAGATGCTTGTACGATGTTGTTTAGCTATCCCAACTTAAAATAAATTAAAAAAATAATAAATAAATAATCCCTTTACTAAAGGAAGAACATAGGAGAACCTACATTAACTATACAGGGAGCAGTAAAATGGTTGTGAACACACTTTTTACTAAATTCTTTTGTATTACAGGCATCTTTGCAATTTGACCAAATTCTTTGAAAGGCTAATATACAAGATAGCACTTTACAATGGATAATATTGCTCAAGAAAAATAAAAAATCATAACTTAAAATAAGGAAACAGTGTCCTCCATGGTTTTTAGGCAGGGAATCCATCTTAAAGGATCTACACTTTTACAATTCAGTAAAATTTTGTTACAAAAAAGGGATTTTTACAGAACTGCTTTTACAGTCGCCACCCATAACATCAATTCATGTTCTGGGGATTAGCTCTGTGTTTTATAGAAATCTTTATAACAATTTTCAGCTGTACCCTGTACAATTTCTATTGCAATAAAGCAAAATACTGGTATACTTTTACCTATTGATTCATTTTGAAAAGCAAACACGTAGAACATTGGATAAAACTGGATGAGGACAACACAAGAGACTGGCTCTGTGTGGATGACTGAAAGACTGCTTTCAATACTATGGTTATAACTAACTTGTTATATTATTAGAAAAGTCTGACTCCTCTCCCATTAATGTTAGTGACAGAACAATAACTTATGTCATTGGAAACAGCATCAGGCTCCATAAATTACTAGTAAATTTCATCCAAATAATTAAGGAGACTGAAAAATTTTGTAGTAACACTCAGGCAACCCTCACATGAACGCTACCCTGTTAAATGATGAAGCCTGTTTTGGACTGGGTGAAAAAGAAATAAGCACTGAAGGAATCTTTCAACTTTGTAATTTCTGCTGTCTACAGAAAAGAGCTACCATTTCTTTCACTCTTCTGATATGTCTCCACTTCTAAAATTAGAATCTGAATTACAATCACACAACACCTAGCAGGCTAATGCTAACAGATGCACTGCATAATTACATGAATAGAAAATATCCAACTCATATTATTATGTAATGGTTGGGGCTTTTGCCAATGTGATATATAGAATATATCAACTCCTTCTGGATCTGCCTTAGCACTCTTGCCTGTCCCTTGCAGGGGCAGACATGGCAATGTCAATCCATATTTGCCCATCAGCCAACACTTCTAGTATAGAATCATAACCTGTGACATGCACAACATTGCCCGTATCTTTAATCACACTGCAAACTCATTTTATTGGTTTAAAAATTAAGGCAAGAGATTGAGAGGTGTAAACCAGGAAATTCTTGCTCCTGTACACACTGATGGCACTGACACCCCAGAAAAAACACACCAAGCACTGTTATGTTCTGAAATAATGACACAACAAATGCAAGAGGACATCAGAATGAGCTTTCATTCCCAGAGACACTGCCATGTGAGGAAGTATCAGAAGTTACTCTTGCAGACAAAGATACCTTTCAGATCACAGATGCTTACCTGAAACATAGGACAGGCTGCAAGGACCAGCAGCAGTTCTGGTTATACAGGGGAGGGAACTCTCCATACCTGGCAGTGACTGATCAGCTCCTGAAGGAAGCATAATTGTGGTGCACTCTGTGACTTGTGCTTCTTAGGTCTCTTTGTGACTTCAATACCTCTTTCTGACTCTGCATGTTTCTTAACTGGTGTGTCCACTGTACACAATCAAATCATTGATAAATTTACATTTTCCATTCAGATCCAGTTATAATGGTTGAATGGGTTAGGAAGCATCACCTGAGCTGCAGTAACTTTACATACTTGCCCTTGAAGAGCAGAAACTCTCACTACTTGGATCTCCCAACAGGCACACAGAGAGGTGCTGTGTGTAAACTGACTGGAGCTGATCTGAAAGTGGCTTGGTCTAGTTCAGTTGAGCTTAATTAAAATCAGAGTCATTTTGCAAAACAGCTGTTAAAATATGTTGCCAGCAAGTTTTTATTTCTGGAACTGATGTCCTCTTTCCTGTGAGTTACACCGTTAATGCTCAGCTTAGTGCATTTTTTTTTCTTTCTTGGACTGCCTGAGCCTTAATTGGCTCCCAGTCTTTCTAGTCCTTTCTCTGTCCTATCTCTGGAGGTCATGATATGTTGAAGTGGGCTTTTTAGTGCTCAGCAGTCAAAAGCCTTAATTTACTGTCCTCTAAAAGAGTAGACAGAGGAACAACAGTCTTTTCATGGACTTTATGCTGTTACTTGCAAGCTAGTGAATCTGGAATTCTCTGATGTTGCTCTATCAAGATGACAGCTCTGCAAGATGCAGCACATTTACTACGTATGCTCTAACTTCTTGCGGTTCCTGGAAGTTTTGTCTTTGTACCACTTGCTGTCACAATGGTCAGTCTGTTTGCCACAGTAAAGGCTCATAACTTTTATGGTTTCTCTATGCTGTACTTTCTGCATAACTCTCAGCTCATTTGTTGTACAGGTTATTCAATGGTTTTGCAATTCTAGCATCTTATATAAAACTCCTTCTTAAAGTGGAAAAGTTTTGCTTTTTTTTTAATCAGTTGAATAGTCACTTTGAATTGCTTAATTTTGCATATCATGCACGAACAACAGTTCATAGCTCAGCAAGACTCCATGCACATTTTATAATAACTGCATCTCAGCAGAAGTCCACATAGATTTACAGTTATTTTATCAGACATATCAGGCTTTATTTTCTGGCTTCAGACTTTGTAGCCTACAGATACCGTAATGTCCAAGCCACAGCAGAGTGTGGTACAGTATCAACATGCAGTTTCTGTCAGCACTGTATGGCTCACATCTACTGTTACAGATATTATGAAGAATACATTAGATCTTTATTCTGGGTATAAAGTTACATTAGACATCAGCCATGCCATAAATGCCTAACTTGTCCCCAAAAGAAGGGCTGACTTCACTATACAACTTTTCTGTATAACTGAAGAAGCCATACGACAACCTAATGCTCACAAGCTATTTCAGCAATGATATTTGTGCTGGGTTTGGCTGGAAAGGAGCTATTTTTTTTAATATTTGCTTGCTTGGGGCTATGTTTTGGATTTCTGCTGGAAACAGTGTTGATTATGCAAGGATGTTTTCTCTATTGCTGAGCAGTGCTTACATTGTAAAGGCCTTTTCTGCTCCCCAATCCAACCCATCAGTGAGAAGGCTGGTGGTGCACAAGCTGTTGGGAGGGGACACAGCTGGGACAGCTGATCCCACCTGACCTGAGGATATTCTGTACCATACAGTGTCATGCTCAGCATATAAAGGTAGGGGAAGAAGAAGGAAGGTGGAGATGTTCAGTGTGATGGCATTTGTCTCCCCAGGTAACTGTTACGCATGATGGAGCCGATGGAGCCCTCTTTCCTTGGGGTGGCTGAGCATCTGTCTGTTGATGGGCAGTAGTGAATGAATTCCTTATTTTGCTCTGCCTGCATGTGCGGCTTCTGCTTTACTTATTAAACTGACTTTATCTCAACCCACAAGTTTTATCCTTCTGATTCTCTTCCCCCTTCCCACTGCAGGGAGTGAGTAAATGGCTCTGTGGTGTTTTGTTGCCAGCTGGGACTAAACCCAGTATTTTCCAAAAAGGGAGAGAAACCTCCAACACATGAGGAAATTTTTTGTAAAAGAATTACCTTTACCTCTGATTTTTCATACTGTTATGCCTCATAAAACTTCTTTCTGAAGAGCTATATCCTACATGGGAACCACATTCCTAGCAAAGGTGCTCACCTGATAATATTTTGGGAGAACTGGGAGGAGGTCAAAAAGCCAGCTAATTACGTTATTAGCTGTGTAAAGGGCTGTATATGGATTCCCCATAATAAATGCAAAACATCTAGTAATCTTTTAAAATCAAAATTGTGATGAGCATTTTTAATAAAATACCAGAAATCAAGCAGCATTTTTGGTAAGCTGAACTGCTTAGAATTACAGATTATTTTCTGTTGCTGGTGTACAGGATGAGAAGAAGAGAAACTCGAGTCTACATTTTCCAAGTGATGTGGTAGGTTTCAGTCACCCAAGGCTTTAATTAGTTTGCTCAGTTTTACAAAATTAAATTCTATATAGGAATAGGGTTTCTCTGTGTACTGCTTAAAGTATTCTGAAATTATTCTACCTAGGTTTATACCTCAGTTTTATTTACAGCTCAATTTCACTTGCCTCTTTAAATTACTTTTCCCCAACAGTTTATTTCTGTGCATTCAGTAACAAGTTCAGAAGCTGTATTTTTTTTTTTTTTATTTTATTTTTTCTTTTGAAGATTTGTAGTTACAGGCCATCCTTAAGGATTTCTGCATTGTTGCACTGTATTTATTCACTGTATTCAAAGAAATCAGGAATATTTTGATATTAAATTACTTGCATTTGCTGAGGTTGCCTTTGGAGCCGCAAAACTTTTACGCTGTTGCCAGTGGATGGGTTTCCCTGTGACTGCACTCTTCAAGTTCTGACTGAAACATAAAGACAATAGCAATAACTAATTTTACAAGGCTGAAGTCTAAACCGGCTGACAAGAGTAATGCAATGCCACTACAGTGCCTCTTGGATGAATCGGCAAAATCCACATAAGCATCTATAGGGGATGTTTCATGAGTGAGGAGAAGGCACTCGGTGCCCATAGGTGCTGTCAGAGCAGTGGATTCCCTGTCCAATGAGGTGGAATGCTCCACGGGCACATGGTTTATGCTGCTCAAAATAACTTGGGACCTGCAAACTGACAAATGCTATTGCTCCGGTGGTGACAGGTTGTCCAGCTTCTTACAGCCATCCTTATAATAACGAAGGTTAACTTCCTTCACTGTATGGACTTGTAGCTGCTTGTGTTCCCGAGGACTCGAAGAATTCCCTTGCTTCCTTAATTTTAATCTCATACTTCTGGATAATTG